TTACGGTGTGGTGAGACCAGAAGGTGTTATTTTTATTTGTGGTTTATTTTCCAGCCTGGCTTTTAGCAGGAAACCTTTACTTGCTGATTGCCGGTCTTTCTAACGGTGGGATTTTTGGAGCATTTTTGCACAGACCATTCTTCCCATGCTTGGGCTGTCAGGTGTAACCCGTGGGTGGCTTGGCTGGGTGCCGCAGCGGGTGCTCAGGGCGTCCCCGTTCGTGCAGAGGAGCATGCTGCTGAAGCCTGTCTCCTCATCCTTCCCGTGCTGGCTCACATCATGGGGTAGCCTCAGAGCACCCAAACTACCCGCCCTGGGCCTTGGGCTGCGCCCCCGCACAGCCCAGTCTGAGCAAAACCCCTTGAAATGGGACTGGTTTGGGCACTGGCTCCTCAGCTCCAGCAGTTTTGCTCTCCAGCTCTGCTGCTTTGGGGCTGTGAATTAGGCACAGCCTCGCTCTCCTAACCCAGATGGGCTCCTGCTGGCAATTTTTCAAGGCTTGAGCTTTGCAAGCAGTGGGAAGATTGAGGGTTGGGTGCTGCACAGAGGGTCCCCAGCACTGTTCTTGGTCCAGAGCCCAGTTAACACATCATCTACTTAGGAAAAAGCTTAACTTGGTTTTAAGGCAGCAGTTTTGTGGAGCTGGTGAGTTCCAAGCTTGCTTCACCAGGTTCTCCTTTCCCTCTTTTTTTTTTTTTTTTTTTTTTTTTTTGGGTGGTAATAGTACTAGAAGACGTTACAAAAATTTTCTGACTCATTAGAAATCACGTGGAAGCATTCAAATAGCCCGGCCAGGCACCGGGCGAGGATGGCAGAGGGGAGGGAAGTGCGCATCCCCCCCCGGGACTTGGCCCATGTTTAAAGAGAATAAAGAGCTTCTGTTTTTCTGCCGTTGAGGTGAAAGCAGCTAAAAGCAAACACCAGTATTTACTTTCCAAAACCCTTTCTAAAGAAAAACATGTGCCTGGGAGTGCTCGGCCGGGCACACGCGTGCCGGTTCGCACTGGGGCTGCTCGGTGCCAAATCCCTGGGGGTGGCACATGCCTGCCGGCCGCCTCCCTTCTCACCGGGCTGCATCTCTCTTGCAGCAATGGCTGGTGAACGGCGGGCACACAGCAGACCTCTGGCAAAACTGCACCTCCGGTAGCATCTTCCACTGCCTGACGTCGTCCACGAACGGTGAGTGCTCCCTGCAAATCGGGGCTGTTGCTGCCCATCGCTTTTATTCTCCTCCCTGGACTTAGGAAATCAAGGAGGATTTGCCTGTGCAGGTTACTTGTGATTCCCCCCCCCCCCCGCCCCCCAGCCTTATCAGTCCCTGAAGTTGTGGTGGGGCTTAGCATGGGTACCAGACCCCACACCCGTTGCTCTGCCCCATTGCCCTCGAGCTGTGGGGCAGCTCCTGGCAGCACCGTGGCAGGGTGTCCAGCACACTCGGCTGCAGTGGAGGTGACCGGCTGGAGTGGTGCTTTCCTGTTACTAGCCCATTTTGATTATGCTTGGATATATAACTGCAAGGCAGTCCTTGGAGCAGGGCTCGCTGGGCCCCCATCACCCTGCTGGGAGTGGAGGGGCCGGTATTGGCACACCTCCCTCTTGCTCTGGTTGTGAGGGTGTTTTACAGGTGCATGTGGTGCCCCAAGGACACCCCATCCCCTAGCTAGAAAGCTGCCCTAGTTCCTGTTGCTGTGACAGGCTGAGGTTTTGGGCACCCTCCTCGCCCCATGGTTTGCTACTGAGCACCGTGCATGGGATGTGCATCTCCCTGCTGAAACAGCCCCTGTGGCACCTGCACATCTGGGCTGGCTGAAGAGCCACCTCAGGACTGAGCTGGGTGCAGGCTGATGTCATGCTGGGTGACATCACCCAGTGAGCTGTTTGCTGAGGTCAGCAGGGGAGGAGTGCTCACTAAGATGCCATGATGCAGAATTTCCAGGGCATCTAGTGGTACCAGTAACATGAACTCCATGCTCAGGCAGTCAGGCAAGCCCGTGCCTCGGTTTCCCCAGAAGACAGGGCCCATGCCAGTGGTGCTGTGTCCAGCATTTGTTTTCAATTAGCCTGGCTTTCACTTTCCTGTGGAAACAGATTCTTTCAGGGTGAAACCCGTTGTGTATCATACTGATGTCACTGGGAGCACAGTCACGCTACGCCGGAAACACAGTCCTGGCATAGGAGCAAACCCATGCCACGTGGTCTTGGCAAGGAGGGGACAGTCACAGCAGAGAGCACTGAGTGCATTCAGAGGGACTTGTGGTGATGAGATACCGTCAGAGGTTTTTGGAGATTCAGGGCACCCTAATCCCCAGCCTGCTGGGAGCAAAACCCTCGTGGGTGCTCCACGTGGGGAGGTGGATGCTGATGCTCACTCTCCCTCTTATCTTCCCTGCACTGGAAGCAACGGCGAGTTTCCCTGCTTGGGCCCAAGCTCTGGTTTTGGTGGGAGCGAAGCCACCGCCGTGAGGCTCTGCTGACGCCTGCTGGTGTCTGGGCCGGCCTGGAAGCAGCTGGACCCTGTCCCAGCCCAGGAGCCTTCTGGAGCCATGGCCTTCATCAGCAGTTGGCTGGTGCTGGCTATCTGCAGCGTAGGCAGGCTGCTGCACGGCCGTTCATGCGTGCTCCAAAACTGCTGACCTTGCGCTTTGAAATAAAAGGCAGCGATTGCCCTCTCAGAGTCCCAGAGCCCGGGGCTGTTAAAGCCTCCCCAAATCTTTCACTTTTCAAACCGGCAGGGCACTGCTCTTTCTGGGTGTTTGCAGGATGCTGCCTGTCACGGAGTTGTCAGCGTTGAGAGGGGCTGTCCAAAACGCGGTTGGGATGGTTTCCTCCGCATCGAACTGTCCTGCTGGGTGTTGTGAGTCTCTATTGCTGTGTTCCCAGAAGCTGCTCAAAGAGGGGCTTCCCTCTGCATCCTTTGTGTTGAATTTTTATCATTAAAGGGGCTATATTCAAGATAGCCTGGCTCAAAAGGCGATCCAACAGCTGAGTTTGGTTGATAGGGTGCCCCGGTGGGCTGCTGTTTGAGTAGAGGCACTTTGTGCTCAAGTCTTAAGGAGCTCTTTGACAGCTCTCATGTGTATGAAGGCTCTGCTCTGGCATCAAGAAAAGGGGGTTTTGCTTGGGCAAAAGCTTCTGCCCCCTCCAGCCGGTGGCAGGGGTGTGGGAGCAGCACTGCTGAGGACCAGTCATTATCTTGTGGGACCCTGGATGCAGGATCCAGAGCTCACCAGTGCTGGAGGAACACAAAACCAAAAGATATTTCCTAGGCTTATGCAAGTCTTTTAAAATATTTGTAAAACCAGAATAAAAATACCACTCAGTGTCCTTTCCAGTGGATCCCCGCACCCTCCCTCCCCACTGCCCATCTCCGAGCCCCTTGGTCCCACCGCCCCTGTGCTGCAGTCGGCTGCTTACTGGGGCGATAATGGGGACACGGAGCAAGGATGCTGTGGCAGGGCCACCTCTGAGGCTCGTGCTCATCCCCTGCCTGGTCCTTGTTATGCTCCTCATACTCTCTTTTTTTTTTTTTTATAGGAATATGCTTACTTTCAAAAATACAAAAGAACCTATACCAAACACCGCAAACCGTTCTCATTTAAATCTCTTTCTAAACACAGACTGCGCATGCTGCACTGGGTTGTAGAAAGCCTTAAGAATTTGTTTCTCTGTCCCTGTGCCAAGGACGGTGTTTAACGGTTAATTGCAGAGTGCCAAGGTCTGCTCTGGGCTAAGAGCAAGAAATCCTCATTCGGGAATTTTGGCAGAACTTGGTCTTTACATAGAGGCAGTTTTTCCCCTGGCCATTGCAGTGGCCACTGTAGTGCAGTTATTTCTTCCTCTCTTTTTGGAAAGGAGTGGTGCTCAGTACTCAGAATACGTGGAATTTGGTAGGGCTGGGTCTCATGTTTTCAGCACGGGTGGGGGCTTTGGCAGGGTTTCCCGTAGCACTAGGGTGCTGGGTTTGTGGTGCTGTGATGCTCCCCTTGGTCTCAGCGGGGTGAGGATGGATGAAGCCTCCCCTCACCCACCATACCCACATGGGGACCCTTGTCTGGATGCCCAATGAGAAACTGAACTTGCTAAAAACCAGCTCCCAGCAAGATTTGCTTGCGTTTAACACGGGGGCAGGTTTGGGACCGTGCTCCTAACCTTATAGATTATCCCGTGGGGATTGAATAAGCAGCAAAAAAACCCAAGAGCTGACCGCGGGAGGGCTGCCGGACCATGGTCTGCCGGGATGTTTGCAGACCCTGGGTGTGGGATGGAGCTGGCCTCAGTGGAGGCTGGGCTCCTGCCCCCCACATTCCTCTCAGCAGGGCTTGAACCCCCCGCGTATGCGAGGGCTGAGCGGTCCGGATGGGAGCGAGCACAGGGAGGGAGGAGGAAACGCCGGGTCGGGGGCAGATGCCCACTTCTTTGCCTTTTACAGCTGCCCGCCTCTTGCTTTGACTTTGGCGTTTGCTTGTTAGATAATGACTTTTTTTTTTTTGTTCAAGAGGACGAGAACTATGGAAAAAATGTTGCAATCTTTGCTTCATTTGCGCTGTCAGACATTCCTGGAAAAGACTTATCTCAAGAATTCAGCTCTGAATCCCAGAATTGTGCGTCGGCACGGCTGTGCGCCAGCCCCCGGCTGTGCGATCCCGCCTGCAGACACGCGGCACGCGGCCGGACCTGGGCCGCTCAAGTGCTCTTAAGTAGATTCCACCCCAAATTTCCAGACAGCGATACTTTTTCCTCCAAAAATGGCCTTTTCTTTCCACAGCTGAATTTTTTATGCGGGCAAGAAGATTTTTTTTTTTCCCCTGCTACTTTCTACTGCTCTTCCTCTGGTTTTGGTGGGAATGCTGAATGTGGGGAAGCAATGGGAACCTCTGTGGAGATCCCTACATCCTTCTGTAACAGGAGACATTTTTCCTGCTGTCTTCTTACAGTTTCTCCTGTTGCTGCTCTGTGGCTTTCGCACGACTGGCTTATTCACAGGCAGGCTGGTGGTTTTGGGGGCTTTTTTAAAGGGAAAAGAAAACTCCAAACCTTGGGGAAATGCACAGGCTGCCAATCCGCATGATTACTAAGTGCCGTGGGCCGTATGATGCACCTGCTGATTCGCTGATGTGATGGCCACAAGCGAAGCCCAGGCAGGTCGCCCAGAGTGGAGATCTGTCCCGGTCCTCCCGTTGATGGGGCAGGCATGGCCATGCACTGGGGGATCGCCCTGCTGTCCTGCACGCTGGCCATCTCTCTTCCAGAGCCCCTTTGGCAGATGGGACCCTAAGCAGCACTGCTGGTGCTTGAAATGCATTTTCTTTGCATCCTCATTCTGCTGGAGGATGCAGGAAAGATCTTCATCCCTGGCACGAGACAGGGGCGTCTGTGCCCTGACTCATCAGCTGTACCCAGGAGGAACTGCGCTGCTGCTTCTCCACTTCAAAATGCCTAACAGAAACATATGATCCCATTGCTTTTGCTCTGTCAGTCCCTCCCAGAGTGGCTTTGCTGCCCTAATTCTTTCAAACTTTTCCAGCAATGCTGGACTCACATGCCATAGAAAAGGTATGGAGAGATGCATGACTTTTTATCCTGTTTATGTCTGAAAATGATGTTGCAAGGCTTCACCAAAGCCTTGCATTGAGGTAAATTCTTTCTCAATGTCTTAATTCCGTTACTGAGAGTGAGTATAAAACATCTCAACAAAAAGAGATGGGGGCAAATTCCCTTCCAGCCCACAGGAAGAGCCGAGACTGCACCAACTGGATCAAGGCTTGGAGAATTGGTCACCGGTGAGGGGACGCTTCCTTGAGCAGGAGGGCGAGGTGGAGACAATAGCGCAGTCGCCCCTGCAAATCAGAAGCTCAAAGATTTAAAGACTGAAAGATTTGAAAAATGGTTTCAGCTATTTATTGAATGCTGAAGCAACCTTCTGCCCTTAGCTGCACTGCCTTGCTGAGTCTGTGGGCACAGCGCTGTTGCTCCTTTTGCTTTATTTCTCCGGGGCAGCTGCAAACTAGTGAGAAATGACCCCTATTTAAGGCTGCAGAGTCTGTTATAATGAAGCCCTGCAGCCTGTATATGTGTTAACACACAGCCTTTAAGTTCTAGCCATCAGTTGGCCCAAATCAGCGTATGGATCACGTACCTTGATTTGGGGACGTCTCTGGTCCTTTGGGGTCTTTGCAGTT